TGAGGAAACAAAAGAGTTCGTTTCCACAGGTCAACTGTATTTGTTAAGGTGTTTAAGTCTGTACCTGTTTCCAAAGGTACTGCTCAGCTCGTCCAGAACGTTGTTCAGCTTCACCTGCAGGTCGTTCAGTAAATCACTGGCCTCTGGGTCCATCTGAGGACAGACACCGACAGAGACAGGGACACGAGGACAAACGCACTGCTTTATTAACAGTACTTACTTAAGACTACAGATTACTACATATTTATATATATATTTACATATATATTTACATGTGTATATACAAATATATATAAATACATACATATAAATATACAGGTGACATTTGTTAATTTTGGCAAAAAAAAAAAATTGATGGAAAAATATACATATACATTTGAACTTTTACTTCCTCTGTCAAAGTAAACAAAACAGAACAGATTGACACCCAGAAAAGTTAATGGTGCTCCTTAAACTGTGTGGCTTTATTTCCACATTGACAGGATGTGACCCACCTTCTTTCCCGCTGTTTCCTTCTTTGTGTGAAGGAAAATAAAAACGACATCAAGAATGAGTTAAAAAAGAACATTTTGTGTTTTGGATAAAAACTTGAGGAAAAACCAGGGAAAATGTTGGAGGTCGAGGTGAAAATCACCACAAACGATGGTTTGAACATGTGACCAATAAAACACAGGGTGAGATTTTTCACTGGGAGGAGGAAAAAAACAGGAGGAAAAAAATGTACAAAAAAAAAAAAAAAAAAACCCCCCTCCCCACGGCCCCACCCTCACCCCCCCCCTCCTCCCTCCTCCTCCTCCTCCTCCTCCTCCTCCTCACTCTCCTCCAACTTAAGGAGTGTTGGTTAAAAAATAAATAAACAAATAAAAAAACACATTTAATTCACAGTGATTTTTTTTTTTACACCAACTTCAGTCAACAGGTTTGTTCCTGAGCTGCTGTTGGTTCCTTGACTTCAGTAGTACACGTGAGTACACAGTATGCAGTCATGTGTCAGAGTACATGTCTGTATACACAGTCAACTTGCCTGGTAAGGTAGAGTTTTACTGTTGCACTAGAAAAGAAAGAAAGAAAAAAACAGGACTGTGACTTGTTTTTTAACGAATGCTAATCAGTTGATTCCACAACAGGATTAATGAGTTCAGCCAGTAGGTGGCGCCTGAACAAACAGAACACCTCCTAAACACTAACCTATAGAACTGTGGACTCTACAGGGACCTCTATGGGCACTGACTGGGTACTGCGGATGAACACCTACCTCCTCCACCTCCACTCCTGCCTTCCCCACCTTCTCTTCCTTCTCTTCCTCCTCCTCACCCTCATCCTCTTCCTCCTCCACCACCTCATCTTGCTTTAATTGTGAACAAACTGGTTAAAATGTCAGCCAACAGTTACAGTAACAGTAACAGCTTCAGTCCTTCAACCTGGAGGAGGTGGCACGACTTTAGGTCGACACTGACGTAATTGTTGTTGACAATTGAATCATATATGTGTATAAATACATATATGTGTGCATAAATATATATATATGTAAACACACACATACATATATTTACAGTATATTATATTTATAAGTAAATGTGTTTATACATGTACATTTGTATACATATACAAATGTACATGTATATTTACACACACACATATATACTGTATATAGTTATACATATATACTGTGAATATACTTTAAACATACACATATACACAGTACGGAGCAGCGGTGTGGACCAGGTGATCAGTCTGTACAACCTCCACTCCACTAAGAACCAATCACGAGTCAAAGCTTCTGAACTAGAACCAGGATGAAGTGAGTGAAGAACCACAGACAGGACCAGAGTCTGTCAGAGCTGAGGGTGGTTTTAACTGACCAGGGTCCAGACCAGGGGTCACCAACTGTATCTGGTGGACAGACCCCCTGGTGTCCGGCCGGACCGCAGCGGGTCCACGGGTCACCAGTTGATGATCACTGGTCAAGGTGAAGCTCTGAAGAACAACATTAGAGCCGGTCTCCATCTCATTAGTGAGAAACTGAACAAACTGAGGTCCTGTGGTGACCTCTGACCTTTGAAGAGAGGTCAAACGTGGAACTCACTCCACACTAAAGTAAACTACTGACCCAGAACTACAGACAGCGCCTCAAACCAACTACAACTACAGCACAGTACAGACCAGAGCTTCCCTGGAGGCGATCTGGTGCACACACACACACACACACACACACACACACACACACACACACACACACACACACACACACACACACACACA